AGCCTTACTTTTGTTTACATAAACTGTTCTCGCTCTCCTTTAATAAATAACATTTGTCCTGTTTCCCAATTCTAGGCCTGAGCTTTTCGGCCTTTATGGCTTCCACCAATTTGCTGTGTGCTGGTTGCAAACATGATGGGCTGCTCTTTCTTAGATTTAACTCTGGAACACAGTAAAAAAAACTGTGTTCAATATTGCTATTTATGCTTTGACACTATCCATAACATAGTTGCTTCAAGTAGGAATTGCTTTTCCGCATGGAACTTGCAACTCTCTTCCATGATTAAGTTTAAAAAAAGAAAAAAAAGAAAAGTCTGGTAACAGCATATTTGTTATTGTGGTTGTATTCAGATTATGTGGTATTTTTTGACGTCTGTGTAATTCTTCTAACTCCATTGTAATTGTTTACACCTTAGTTTTGATTTGCATTTTGCAATTTGAAGGAAAGTATTTTAATGTGTCAGACTCTTAGACTAATGCACCTTTTCTAAGTTGTTAAATCATTAAAAAAGACAACTTATGGTATGGTTTACTAATCAAATGCAGAAGTTGATAAATGTTCAAATCTTCACTGCACTTTGAGTCTACTTAATGCCAATTAAAAGAAATCATGACAAATGGGAGATTAGTACTTGTGCCAGATTGGGGATTATTTGTCTTTAAAAGAAATAGCTTGGAAAGGTTTGTGGTTTAATAAATGTGACATAGTAAAGTACCTCAGTCCAGATGATACTGATTATGGTATAAGTGTTTCTTTAAGATGGCATATATCTTTCCATTAAGAATGCTGGATTTACAGAATCAGCCAATAACCATTCCGATATTTTGTTTTAAACCCTGGAAGATGGATAGGGGGAATTCCATATCGTATGTTCTGTGCAGTCAAGCACTGCATTTCTTGTTGCAACACAGAAAATGTTGTCCTTTTTTTGGTTATTTTTTTAATTTAAGGTGGAAAAAGATTCAGTTTGTTTTTGTGTCAGACTAGTTCTTAGAAATCTTACTTTTTTAAAGAGCTGGGAAGTAACGTATGAATGTCATTTTTCTATCTTTTTTTAACATAATTGTTATAACTATTTTACTATGCTCTGTAAATTTAAGATAATCTCAAATCGGGTTGTTGAAAATAGTTCTACTGATACTGAAACAGGTAGTGAATTGCATGTATAAAATATGCCAGGTAAATCTACAGTATGGGTGAGAGTCTACCTTTTCTCTGAAAAGTAACCGGTTTTTGTCTGGCAGAGTGTCTGTTAGCATTGGTGGTGGTTTAGCACAGTAAAGCAGCTTGTTTAAATGGCTGGAAGTAAAGAAGATGACACTGTGTGTGCCATTACTTACCCCAGTCTCCTCAAAATGCTCAGGAAGCTGCCTGGACGTGAGGCCCTGTTCACTGAGGAGGAAACTGTGGCACACAGGGACTTGGAGCATTAATCAGAAGAAGGATTAGAAGTTTACAGCATACACATCTTATTTTAGTGCAGGCCTTCTCATACCTGATTTTCTTAAAGCAGACACTCCTGAAGTCATACTGAATTTCATTCTTTATTTATATTATTAAAAAAAAAAAAAATCTGATAGTTTTATGGTATTTAAAGAAGAGCTAGAAAGTGTGATGGGAGAGTAGTCTGTGAATATAGCTAAAGCACTGCTGTTTTGCTTCCAGGTCTTTATTTTTTCAATCAATCTTAAGACTCCTTAGAATCACAGATCTGAACAATCTGGGTCTCTTCTACTGAACCATGTGTCTTACATGTATGTCTCTTGGCTGTGTTCAGAACGTTTTTGTTACATTTTTATTTGTGATTAAAAAGTGGTATGAATTTCCTTAAAAAAAACAATTACAAAAAAAAAAAGGAAAAAAAAAAAGAACAACCTTGTGTTTTAATTCACCGCTATTTTTAATACTTATAAAAATTCTGAGCCAGTTCAAAACACTTTGTGCTTCCAGTTCCCAGATTCTTCTTTGAATGTTAGCACCTGTTTGAATGTCTGTGCATCTTTGTCAAAGAAGAGTTCTCTGTGAATAAACTAAATTACCCCAGCTGTTTTGAAGGTGTGCATGAGGGTGAGGAGACTGCAGATTTCAAGCCCAGAAGCTGTATTAATTTTGATAAGGGGATTGAAATTGGAAGTTCTGAGCACCACTTTTTTCAAATATGAAACAAAATGTGTTACTTTGAAGAAATTTTATGTGCAGTTTAGAAACAAAGAAAGTCCATCAAATGTATGCATAATTTGTCTTATTCTGAAGTGTTACCATCAGAAATTGGTCATCATGTCTAACCCCTTTACCCTTGATGCTTGATTACATTACATAACTAACTTTTTTGTTACAGATAAACATCAGCTGAATTCTTTGACGAGGAATGGTTGTAGCTTGTCCTTAATTAACATCTTCTTGTTACAGTGATTTATGTTATTTGGGAATACTGTGGTTAAGAAATAAAACAGCCATGGAGAGAATCTGTTTGTAGGCACGTTAGGAGGACTTCCTTTCCATGCAATTGAAGGATTTACGTTAGGAATGAAATAGGAAGATGGCTCATTTGTAGAGTGTTCCTGTTTGTCATTGCAAATGAAGCTGTCAGATGCATTGATTGATTTTATATATTAAACAGATTATTTCAGTTCTCAGACAGCTTATTTTTGATCAGTCTCTTGATGGCTTTTTTTCCCCTAAAATTTTGAAAATAGCAACTGAATTTTCAGTCAGAAAGTCACATCTTAAAGTAGCTAGTCTGTCGCCTGGAAGAAACTTTCTGTCTTTTTAAGCCATAATTGCAGGCTGTGCTCCTTTGGCTTTCTACGTGGCTATCCCACTCCCTCTTCTTTGGGGTTTCCTGCTGTGGGTAATCCCAGTCCGGGGCGGGCAGTTTAACGCTGCTGCAGCACTTCCCCCGCGTCAGGGGTAACAATCTGGTTCATGAAACTCTCTTCATAAAATGTGATAGAGTCACCAAGTTGGTGTTTTGGGATTTGGGGTGGGTTTTTTTTTTGGTTTTTTTTTTGGGGGAGGGGGGTGGGGGGGGTTGTTTGTTTGTTTAGTAATAGTAGCAGTTGATAAACATGTTATCTGTTTCTTGTTACACTTAAGAAAAAAACTTTAAGAAAGTTTAATTGTGCTGTTATCTTTCCTTTAAAAGTTCTCTAATAAAATAAACAGTGTATATTATTGTTGCGGTGATAAATGTGGTCAGCAGTTAAAACTTCCAAAGTCAGTTTTGGATTTTAGCCAAATGTCTCCCAGTAAAAGTAGAAAGATGAATGTCATTTCACATGTTGCAGTTTGACAGAGATGCAATGGATAACAAAGTGACTGTGGGTAAACCCACCATGCTGCGTGTATCCTAATTCTTCTTCTCACTTTTAGGGATTCTTTCTCTACCTCTGCTTTGTATTTAAACTGAAGAGTGAAATATTTTTTCTTTTGAATTATTTTCACTGGATTTGCAATGAGTATATGTCCTAGGGGGAAGTGAAGAGGAGAAACTCAAAGCAAAGAATAAACCCACAGTTAGCATTAAAAAACATCTCTGGTTATGCTGGTTTCTTATGTTACTTGAAGTAGTTTACATAAATGATGCATGCACTACAGCGTTCTTCCAAGAGAAATGAATTTTGTCAAATGACATTTAAGAATAAGAAATTATTTAAAAGAACAGACATTTAAAACACTAAAAATACACAAACCCTTTCAGGGTGTATGTGACTAATCTTAGGAAAGTTCATCATGAAGAAACTAATGTGAGAACTATCTGTTTCTGTGCAGCCAAGGCTTCTGTAAGACTATACCCAACTGAATAACTTCTCTTTAAAGAATGAAGTGGGCTGAGAGTTATGAGGGGAATAAGCAGTGGGACTGTATTACAGGAACAGTGTACAAGTTTTTCATGAATATAATTATCTCACGGACAAAAGGCATCTAAGTGTGTGTGTACATGCAGATACATCATGCAAAACAGACCATCTGTCTTCTTGTGTCTGACAGCAGTTGTGATCACCCAGGGAGCAGGGCTTACAAGCACAGCATTTGGCCCATAGTGCTCTTTGAGGCAGGTAATGCTGGAATTTGGAACTCTTATTCTGTCAGATTCCGGATCTGATGACTTTCAGACTGGTGGAGGTGTATTGCTGTTTACTCCAAACTCTGTCAGACTACTGGGAAGATGTCTGTTGGTTTGAATTACACCTTAAGTGCACCTTGATTTAAAACTGGTAGGGGTTAGGAGTCTGTGTAATCAATGTATTTTGGAGACTGGAATATAATAATTAGCTATTAAAATGCTGTGTATATTTTCTCCTGGTGGTCTGTAACAAGTCTAATGGAGTTCAAAATTTCAATACAGTTTAATTATTGTTTGTTTTTACATTGTTTCATTGTTACATTGAAATACATATTCTGCCCACATATTGAAGTACTGTTTGCCATCAAAACAGCTTTTTTATATTTTGATTATATTGAAAGGCCTACTTTATGCTCCAGAAGTGATAAGAAGCTTGGTCATGCAGGTGGTGTATATTCAACAGCAATTAAAGATGGCATTTAGCACTTCGATGAGGATCTTTCAAAATGGCTGAAAGCCATATTTATACAGTGGCAACCAAAATGTATCTGTGGGATTCTCTGAAACTCGGTCACCACATCTCCTCTATCGTCTTGGACCTTGTGAATGGCAAGGTGGGGGCCTTTGGAATGGCTGAAGATTAGCATCTCCTGCTGTTTTTTAATTATCAGAATCTGGACAGTCATTTCTTTGAATGAAATAATGCATACAGTTTGTGCCTCCAAAGAACAGCATACATAATGTGGTTGTAAGAAAAGGTTTTCAGTCCCTCAGTGGGATGTCGTAGGGTATGTTTATAAACTCCAACCTAGCAGTTGTTCTGCAGTGGAATTCCACTGGTATTGAGATAATAATTTGCACAGTCAAATTGCTTTCTTTACAAAAACCCAGGGAATTATGAGACCCTAATCCTTTATTAATGTCAACCCATAGGCAGCAAGGAAGCGTAAGATTGCCATTCGAAAAGCCCAGGGGAAAAATCTTGAGGCCATCCGAGAGCTGAATGAGTATCTGGAACAGTGAGTGTCTCACAAGAATACAGATTGTGTTTTGCTATTCTCATAAATCTTTTTAATTAAAATGGAATTTGCATTTGATTTGCGCTTTTCCTTCCATGTTGGTCATTTACAGAATCCCTCTACACATTCTTTCTTTCTGCCTTTTTTCCCCTCTTGTCTTTTCCGTACAGATTTGTTGGAGACCAGGAAGCTTGGCATGAACTTGCAGAACTTTACATCAATGAACATGAGTAAGTTGTTTGCGAAGTCTTCATAAAAAATGTTAAATTGAAATATGCGCTGTGCAAGTCAGAGACCTCAGTGATTGTTTTGAAGAACTGATGTTAGAAAGTATGAAGTCTCCTTTCCAATATAACAGACTTTCTCAGGAAATAATTAACAGCCTTGTCATACTGCTGGGACATTAATAAGATACTCGATTTTCAAATGGAAGAAATTTCATTAATTACTTGTATGTTTCAGGCGTTTATTAAATCCTTTTTTTTTTTTTTTAAATAAATGTTTTAAGCGTAGCAAGGAACAGCACACATTTTCTCTAATTTTTCTTTCAAGTGACTTTTTTTACTGGGTATAGATTTTAAGTTCTTTGCCACTAAAAACAATTGATCACAGCAAACTATGTGTAATACTCTTATTTTCAATTAGCCTACCTCTGCAGGAACTTTTAGTAACCTTTAAAAAATAAATAAATAAAGCACGGATCCCTAGTTGGAGGAATTTGGTCGCCTGGGTACAAAACCCAGTGCAATCAAGAATGCTGGATGTTGTTGTAACTTGCTTATTGGATATTTAATGTTTTTGTTAGCTTTTTTTATTGCTGCAGTGACAGGAGGAAATCCCAGTGTGAGAGGATTAGCTCAAAGCCTTAGTGCAAGTTTTCTAATATCACAGTATTAATTCTAACCTCCACCCAAAGGCGTATCTTTTCCCCTCACTTCTTTAGTTCTTCAGCCCAGCCTGAATTATACCACATTGTTTCCTTCCTTCCTTTCTAGTAGTGAATCAGATTCTCCAAAAATAAATAGCCTTTCTCACAATGATGAAAAAATTGTCCACCATTACCCCGTTCGTAAAGAAAGCATCTGCTAAACTCTTTCAAATGCTGACTTAAGGAATAATTAAATATTGAATATATGTATATGGTTAGAAATATATTCGAGCAGTGAAATCTCCTTGTGCATGATGCAATGGAGCAAACATACGTATCCCATTACAGTTTTTTTTTCTTTTTTTTTTTTTTCCTTTTTTGTTTTTTGCTATAGTCTTTATTACAAAATCGTGTAATAAAACTTGAGAAAGAAATTGGTTTTGTTTGTATTTGCCTTGGGCTGCAATTCAAAAGTGAAAAAGCTGAACTTTCTCCAATTCATTGAAAAAATTGACCGTGCTCACTGTTTACTTTATAAGCATCATTTATTATTATATTTCTTTTTGATGTAGATAAAAGGAAATGAATCTTGTCTAAAAAAGCAACTAATTAACTAAAAAACAACCATATTATCAGTTGTTCAGCAGTATCAGAAATTCTGCCTTACTGGTGAATTCACCATGGTGTTACTATTGTTCATAAACATGCCTAAATTAACAAGATGCATGTGATCCTTAGTTCCACATTTTGTTTTGATGTAAGGAATGTGTTTTCTGCTTTTGGAGAGTCAGATTATTATCCTTTTATTTCCAAATTAACTTTTGAGATATATACCTGACTGTTACAATAAAAAACCCACAGTTTGCTTATTCTAGGAAATAAGATTCGACTGTTTGTGTTTTAATATTCTTATTGTTGCTGAGTTGCTTTTACTCTGATCATGTCTACCAACACTGGCGTTACAAACTTTGTCTCTCTGAATTTTAGCATCATGTCATTTAAGCTATGAACATCAATGCTATCACGTCTGTAATATCCTGCAAATTCTAAAGGAAACCCTGTTAGTTGAAAGATTGTGAAGCTAAGATTTTTTATTAACCCAAACAAACATATAAGATTATCTTTGTAATTTATTTTGGAGGGCTTTCATTTAAAGAACGAATACTAGAATTTCTTTTACAGTGATAACATGCTGTTATTTGGACTGGGGTAGTGCTATTTTCATATACATATATTTAGACTGTCTGACTTTTACTACTGTTCTGAGGGGTTTTGACCACACTTCTGTGGTTGAGTCTGAGTAGATAGCTGACTGACGATGTTAACCATGTTCTGATACATAGTGTGGTGTATGAATCACCATGTAGCTAAAAAACCTTGTAGGAAAAAAATAAGAACTACTTTGTGTTGTGTTTTCTGTTACATAATGCCTGTTTCTACTTATTACTTTTGTTAATAAGAAATGACACTTATTGGTAAAAAAGGCTAAATATTGATGCCTTCTGTATATATTAAAACCATTACATTTGGTATATTTTTCACTGTTTTTAATGTAAAAAATTTGTGTTTTCAAACATCACTTAAAAATAAAATGTTTCTTTGCATTGTGAGTCATGGGGAGTTACAAAACAAGTAGGCTCCTTTTATTGTACTGTAAAGAAACTGAAGTAAGCTGTGCACAGTTTCATTTTTATGTCGCTGTTATTATATTCTTCAGCTATGCAAAAGCAGCCTTCTGCCTAGAGGAGCTTATGATGACCAATCCACACAACCACTTATATTGTCAGCAGTATGCTGAAGTGAGTATTTTTCTGAAAAATCAGTTATGTTTGAATACATATTCTGTTTTTTTTTTTTGTTACTGAAGCAGTGAAAATGGAATAAAAATTTATTTAATTTTTCCCTAGGAGATTTAAGACAGTGCGTAGTGAATGTTAACTTCTCCAAGAACTTCCACGCTAAGAAAGCTGTTTTGTTACTCAGTGTGACTTAACTATAAATAAGAGTTGAGGCAGGAATTACTGAAGATAAAAATTCCTTTTAAATAGGCTATTCTTGTTGAAGTATTTATTCACTTTTCAAATTAACTGCATTAGAATTTAAACTATCATAACTACGAAGCTATAATATATTATCTAGTACTCTGGAGCTAGATCTTGGAATCCTTCACATAGGAAATTTTGCCTGAAAGAACACTCATTGCATGAAGAGAGGATCCTCTGAAGTCATACCTCTAGAATTTTAGCCAGTTGTAACTATTTTTCAGATGTGTGATATTTTTTTTCCTAAATCATGCCTTAACTACTTGGAATGGATTTGATTTGTTTTGTTAGCATGGATAAAATTGAGTTAACATCAAAACTTGAAAGTCTAAATAGCGTTGTGATAGAATAACTATGAAGCATGTCTTTTAATAGTTCACTCCTTTTGTTGCTCTAATAGCAGTCAAAATTAATAGAAAAATAATGGAGTGATCTTTAAACTTTGTGTACTGTTTTTTGGTAAACAGCTAATGAAAGACAATGTGTTGCATACTGTTGTAATGCTATGCTGAAGGAATTTAGAGTTAGTACAGATTTCTAACAGTCAGAACTTAAATTTAGATTGAAAGTCCATTTTAATTTCATAAGAGACTATCCCAAGATTGTAAGTATTGAAAGTGCAAAATAATCACTTTCTATTTTTATAGCAGCTGATTTAAATTAATGTTGGTTTTCCCCACAGTTAAATATTTTTACATTAATTCACTTTTCAGAGTTCAAGTTTTTCCCAAGCCAATGTTTGGCCTTTGGTAGAACTCACCTAGAATATCATGTCAAACAAACCTGACAAGAAGTTTCATAATATCTTTGAATCAAGAGTGAATGCCTGAAAATATGGATGATGTGCAACTTTCAGGAGCCTATTGTTTTTACAGGTTAAATATACTCAAGGGGGGCTTGAAAACCTAGAGCTATCAAGAAAATATTTTGCACAAGCACTGAAACTTAACAACAGAAATATGAGAGCTTTGTTTGGGCTTTACATGGTGAGTTTGATTGTTTTTTTCCTCATGTTAACGTTTCATAAGCTTTAATGCATGTATATCATCCTTTGGCATTTGCTGTATTTTCTTCTTTTTGATTTAATATAGTATTTAATAACAGTGTTAATAGTCTAAACTATAGGGTATGAACAGCATTGTGCCAGTGATCAAAAGTGATAAAAAGATATTAAAGCTAGTTTCTGTGTTCCAGTATGTGTATCTTGATTCCCAATCTCAGGTGGGGTAATGATACTTCATTAAATCAATTTTCAAAGCATTTTCTAAGAAGCTTTAACGGTAATTTTCAGTTTCAGTTGCTTTTGAAAATGTTTTCCTGTGGAAGCAAAGTCTTGGCTTCCTATGCTTTCCATATATAAATTCAAACTTTTTTTTTGACATCTTCTTCCACCTGTCTTTGTTCACATAATTTGATCACTGGTTTATATAGCCATCTTCCAAGTTTAACTATCTTATGCTATCAAACCATCCTTCAAGTCGATTTCACCAAAGATCAGTTCACTTTTTAAATATTTTATCAGTCATCTTTATTATTTGTAAGAATTTTCATTTATGTCAAGCCCTTTTGGGCTTTAGTACTCCCAGAGGCTTCACTTGCACAATAGTGGTAGGTGACTTAGGCTAATCCATCTTCATCCTCTTTAGATGTCTGTAAATCCCCATGTTTATGAATTCACTTGTGCCCCAGTGTAATTTCATCACCAGATACCAACGCTCTTTTGTTATCTATGCAGCATATTGCCTTACTGACAAGCATAGCATATGCTAGTTCTTTTGTGCTTACTGGACAGGATAACCAGATTGCAGCAAAATTTCCTCAGCAAGTCTGCTCACACAGTATCAGCCAATAAAATTTGCATTATTTTCTGCGCCCTTGCTGGAGATAAATACATCTGTACTTTTTTTTTTTTTTTTTTTTTTTTTTTTAAGTTACAAGACCTGTGTGTGTGTTCTTACCCCTTTCCTCCTTAGCAGCCTCGCCAGGGGTTGACTTTTCTGATTTCTGTGCTTATTTTACATTGAGTAACTCTTGGACCAATCACTGGAGCATTACATTAACTTAGAAATGCATTGAGAGTAGACATCTTCTGCAACTTGAAGAAGCTGATCTATGCATTTGTTGTCTGTTTTCTTAGTTGAAGTACTCTTAAGCTATAATTCTTGCCATTTTTCCACAGAATTATAAATATTAACACATGAAGGTAACTTCTTGAAAGGGATTTAAACTCATACACTTCTCTGCAGGATAGTGAGCCTCTGAAGAGTACCAGCACACTATAATTACCTTCTTTTTTCCAAATTTTGCAGAGGAAAATGGCAATTGGATATAAAGACAGAGCATTTTATATCTTCTCTGACACATCAAATGGGAAAAAACAGTTTGTAACTTTTAGTTTAGGAAATTAGCTGATTATGTCCGGATGCTCTTCTTAAATCAGTACATAACTGGACTTAAGTTTGATTTAGTGAATTAGAACAAAAAGTAGTTTAAATAGTTTAGGTTAATTCTTAATTGGATGCTATCTACCAGCTAGTAGTTTTTACTTATTTATTATTTTCATGCACATATCTTTCGTAATTATACTGTTTTTCTACTTTTTTTTTTTGCTAGTCTGCGAGCCATATTGCCTCCAATCCAAAAGCAAGTGCAAAAATGAAAAAAGATAATATGAAATATGCCAGCTGGGCAGCGAATCAAATAAATAGAGCCTACCAGGTTAGTATCTAATTATTTTCTGATGCTCTTAGTATTTTCTGTAGTTCTTTTCTGCTGTTCAGTGGGTTAGATATGATAGGTGTAAATTGGTGTAATTTTTTGAGTTTCTTGCATTCTACTTGTTTATCTTCCTGAAAGCCTTACTTAATAAAAGGTTGATTCTTTACAATTATTAATTTGTATTACTTATAAGCTTTATACATTTCTTTTTTAATTAAATGGTTACTGTAATGCTGACTTCCAAGACTCAGTTCTAAAGTTATGTATTTTAATAAAATTTAGTATGTCTCAATTCTTAAAATTATTTCGTTATCTACTTCTTCACTAGAAATCAAATTAAGATTTTAGAATGTTAGTTTCTTTTGATTTAATCTTAAAGAATATTATTATTAAAATCATACTTTAAATAGAACAGAATAGTTTATTTGAAATGGGCTTTCAAAGGTCATCCAGCCTAGTCAAAAGTTAAAGCACATTCATGAGGGCATTGCCAAATGCCTCTTGATTCAGGTTGGACGTTAGGAAATATTACTTTTCCCACCCAGGGTGGTCAGGTGCTGGAACAGGCTGCCCAGGGAGGTGGTGAGTCACCGTCCCTGGAGGTGTTCAAGAAATTTTAGCTGTTGTACTGAAGGACATGGTGGGAAATTTGGTGATAGGCATATGGTTGACTGGATGATCTTAGAGGTCTATTCCAACCTTGGTGCTTCCATAGTTTAGTGAGAACAATTGGTAGTAGGCGGACAGCTGGACTGGATAATCTTGTAGGTCTTTTCCAACCTTGGTGATTCTATAATTCTATGTTTCTAATAATTACCTTAGGGATGGTTTATCTGTAAAACTGTGAAAATGTAGACTTTTTTATGCCACGTTCAAAGCTTACTAAAGTCATCGGGAGTCTTTTCAGGTATTTGAGAAGTCATGTATAAACATTTACATTTACTTTTGTTTACTTTTTTTTCTCTCCAAGTGTGAATGAAAATACGTTTTAGCTAATAGGTTCTTCTGTCCTTCCATCCCAAACATAATATGTCTATTTAACTCTTTACAGGTATTCTCAATGATCTAGCAATCAAAGCTTATGTTTATGAGCTTTGACATCTGAACAAACGATTCAGTTCTTCCCGGAACTCTTTTTTCTGAGCAAAAATGTTGGATTTAAATTAAGAGACTTTACTTGCATGTTATTGTTCATTTCTGTCTCTTAATATTTCGGAAGGCAATAGTTATTTTACTGCTGCTGTTCAAAGCTAATGCTGCCAAGTGGCTTTTTTGACCAGCTTCATCTATTACAGAATTAAATTAGGATTTTCCTGTATGACCACTGCAGTTTTCCTAATATTGTTGTGTTGGTCCACTGCCAAAAGTGCAACTTTTGTGGCTGACATGTTCTTGATGTATTACAATTTTAAAGTAGTTTTCACTTCCCCTGATTAAGCCTATGGCTTCTGAATATACTTTCCTGTGAGGAATATCTCTTTAGAAGCAGTTTTGTAGGAAATATGTTGTGTCTGTAAGGACACATTTAAGCTTTTTTTACTTGAATGCATAAGCTTTCTTTCTCTGTTTTACTATTTAAATGAGTTTTTACACGTGATTAATCAACCATGTACCTGTTCATGACAAGAAGGCGTGTACAAATTACATCCTTCATCTCATTTCCCATAAATAAGCAGGACTTCTTCTGACTCCAGTATGTCTGATGTTCTAGTAAGAACATTACTGATGGAAAACATAAGTATTGCAGGATTTATGAGGGAAAACCAAATAAAAAATTGAAGAGCAGAATTCACGCTAAATTTGCCACTGACAGAATAAGACAAGTTTTAAAAGATGTCTGAATGTTAAGTGAAAACTATTATTCCATGATTTACGTCTTAATAAAACAACCTGCTTAGATTAGGGGGGTTTTGAACATATGTTTTAAGGGAGTATTATGACTAAAGTTTCTAGTTGAAAGTACAAGTAGACATCCCTTAGCTCTTCTGGGAAATGGCCTCCTTCAGGGTACATCAGAATGAGAGTATAAAGTCAGTGTTGGCTGTGGGTTGCTGGCATACCAAGACTAAGACCTAGAAATGCATCTCCATATTCTAACAAAAGTGTAAATGATAGTTTGTACTTACTTGACTGGGAGTGAAATAATCTTTTTTTATTTCCCCACATGGCTTTCTGTTAGCATCACAATCTCTAAGGAAATATGAATACTCGGTTGTTCTTTTAATTTTTTACTGGAAAGCATACTTCCAGTGTTTATGTGAAGTTATTTAGGAATTTATGTGAAGAATATTTTGTTGATGCTTAGCAGCACGGGTCACATTAAGAAACTAGGACATTAAAACACATGTCATAAGTTCTTTGACTTCATGCTTTTGTGATACATTGCATAGCTTAGCTGCTCATTTTAGCTGTTTGGAACATAAAGTGACAAACACCATATCCAACTGGAATTACAGAGGGAGTTTAGCTATGCAGAAAATCATATCTGTTCAGCCTAGAATTTGGTGAGTAACTGGTGTGGACACGCCCTTCATCCTCAGAGTACCATGAGAAGCTCTGGTGACCAAAGCTGGACAGGACTACCTCAGCCCTGCCCAACTGAGCTCGTTGCTCTGACATGATTTTGGAGGGCTTGGCCACTCCAGTTTTTATGTCAGGGACTTACACCAACTGCAACACCACATAGTGTCTGGCGATGTAGTAGGTGGGTGGCACTTTCCTCTACGAGTCAGTACTCTGATGTGTTGCTCCCCTAGTTTGCTGAGTGGTTGGAAATTGTCAACTTTCAGATATACGGATGAAACCTCTGTGGCATTTGCCCTCACAGCTCCCTCCATTAGTGGAGGATTGTCTAGCCAGGTTATAAGCTAGTTACTTATATTGTCTCTATAAATTCTCCTCACTTTTCCTTGTGTTATCCAAAGCTCTCTGCAAAGTGAAATGAGACCCTTAAGAGTCTGTTGAGCTTGGCATCAACTTCTTTTATTAGTTGGACCTTCTTACGCTGTTGAATGCAGTTTTTCCTTGAGTCATAGTCTAGAGGATGAGATGCATTTAGAATCCTGGCATGGGTGCCAAGTCAAATTATATGCATTTGTGACTTTAAAATTGCTTTCAAGCAGTTGTCTTGCAATGAGATTTTTTCCCATTTTGAGTCTGGATTTTGTTCTTGAAGCACCAGCAGTCCAAATAGTAATTTTGAAAACCTGCTTTATTTTTTTTCAATTCAGCACTGGCTATAGTACCATTGGTTTTTTTTTTTTTTGTTTTTCATACCATTTACTTGAAATATTTTTACTGCTCCCTTCATTTTAGTTTATTCTGTGACAGGTAGTTTCCTTTGGCACATGATTTTTGCTTTTTTGCATTCTTGTTTGAAATCTGAGGAATGCTTTAGTTTATCGTCTTTTTAAAAATCAATATTTGTGTAAAAAGAGAACCATATTTTTACCTTTTCCAGACTGTAAAACTGTGTTTCTACAGAAAAATGTGATAAAAATAGTTAAGGGCAATTTTGTTTGGTTTGAGGTTGTGTTGTTAGTTTTTTGGTTTCTAATGAGCATCAAGTAACTGTGCTTTATGTGGTTAGTATTTTGATGTTATATCTGTAACCATGCATGCTGACTACTGCTTCTCATCTATGCCTTACTGGGGAGGTGAAGTAGTCAGGTTTTGTAGCTAGGGCTGCTACTTGCATCTGGGAATTGCTGGCTGCTAATACTGTCATTCTTAGACTGACGGAGTGAAAAGAAAAAAAAAATACCTATATACTGATTATTTGAAGAAATGTTGTAAGCTCAAGCTTAGTTTTCCATTGCTTTATCACTGCAAAACTCTGGATTATTCAGTTTGTGCTGATCCTGTGAAGAAGCCTGTCATTCTTGTGACTGAGAACATGAGTCCCACTGTTATTTTAACATTGGAACAAACTGTGGCTACCTCTGGTGCTCTTCAATTAAGTAATTAGTTTAACATGTCTTTTGGTAGAAGCATTTCAACAGAGGCAGAGAAGGTTGATTAATGCTCATAAAAATCTTAAATGTGATCCTACTTGTGGTAGTTTTTCAGATGTATACTGCTTTGGTACATTGCTAAATTCTTCTGTGTGAGCAATCCACATGGTATTTATGGTTGGAGAGGTGATTTTGTTACAAACCATTTGGGAAACAGAAAATTAAATCTTGATTTTAAGAAATGGATTCCGGCTCAATCAGTCAAATTGCTGTGTAATGGCAGAATAGACAAAATAATTGTTCGTCAGGGTAAATTTGAAGTGATTAGATGTCCAAGTATACTTGTGTTTGTTATGATGCAGAGTTTGATTTTACTTGATCCATTTAAAGTACACGTCAATATCATGAAGGCAGCCACTCCTGAAACTAACAAGTAGTGTTTATAAGCTAATATCTTGTGTCACTTTTGTTTTCAGCATCTCTAAAGAGAAGTAAAATAAATACAGTTCTTATTTTCAAGCTTTCCTCTGCCTGTTTTCTGTACGTCCTACCAAACGTGATGTTTGACCATAGTATATTCAGACTCCTGTGCTGCTTTATTTTGTTTTGGAAGTGCTTTGAATAAGAAACAGAAGAAACAGTTCTCCTGTGGAGGATTTTGTGCTCTGGCTTTACATTTGCTTGTTTTGATGAAAGGGCTTGGACCTCCCCAAGTATCAGCTTAGGACTGCTCTTGTTTAGGTTGAAGAAAAAGAGGGCGTTGCATTAAATTCAATTTCTTCTCTCATCTGAGAGAGTCTAAAGAAAGCTTTGATTTTCCTTTAAAGTTGACTGTTGCAGGTCATTACGAAAACTTTGCAACCTGGAAAATGGTACATATTGCTAGAATAAAAGCAGGGAATGTCAGTTCCTCTTCTGAAAATATGAAATATGAAAATACGGAGTTTCCTGTATGTCTCCGAACTATGAAGTATTGTCACAGTAACTGAACTTCATTTTTCTATTTCATGTGAAATATCTTTTCATTTACTGTACTGAAGCTGTTTCTTCAAGATCGGTACTGATGCAGAGTCCCAGTGTTAAACTGTAGGGTAGGGGTCAAAAGCAGGTTGACAGGTCCTGCAGCTTGTTGCTGGTGTGATTTTACCTGGGTCTGATGACTTAATCTTTCTTAACAGGTCATGAAGAGTTTGCTAAATTAAGTTAATTACAAGAGAGAAGGGACACATTATAAATCAAGGGCAAACTATGCAAAACAGCAGTGGTATTTGAAATAAAAAACATAAACACTCAATAAATTTTCAATTTTAGATGTTAACAATTAGGCAAATAACAGACTATTTTACTAACTGCAAGTTACAGTTACTGCTTCTATAGTTTCATTACCACCCCAGCCTCAAATGCAAAACTTTTTAAATGAAGGTGTATTAGAAATGATTGAGAGTTTTGTTTGACTGAAGACCAGCACAGTCAATAAATCCACTGTGCACAGTGTGACTGATGAGCGATGGGAGCCATCACTACAGTTAGAATACTCCTTTTGAAGTCAGCATGGGGTAATCAGCAGCTCCTCCCCTTCTTAGCCTTTCTTTCCCAAACTTGGCTGAACATATCTTAGAGAATCTAAAGCCATAACACTGGAAAATAGTATTTATAAAGCTGTATTTTTCCTTGTTATCAAGGCAGAGTTTCAGATCAAAGCAGAATTTCAGATGCGCTCTGAAATTGCTATTGTAACAGTAGGTTACGATCAAACATGAGGTCATTACTTCAGTTACTTTGAACCATAAAATGTAATTATAAGATGATTGCATTGTTCTGTAGTAGATTTTGATAAGCAGAGCCTTCTCTGTCTCCCTGTAACTAAAATAGAAAATAAATCATATTTGTAATTTAAACAGTAGCAAGACCTGATACTTAAGCTAATCTATTTTCAATCACATCAAAAATTAAGTCAAGTAAAATTTGTGTTAAGGCTCACAGAGCAAACAAAACAACAGGAAGATCTCTGTCATTAGAGAAATGTTAATTTCCAAAGTGGGATATTTGTTAGTACTCAGTATGTAAATTCAGAGCAAATGATTGAAATTAAGGTTTTGTTATTTTTTCATTACTTACTAGAGGAAGGATGATATAACTTTTGTTCTAGCAAGAGAGATGAGGTTTTAGTGTAACATTAAAGAAGCTGTTCTTTTGACTTTGTAGTAAATACAGTTAATAATTTTTAGGTTTTTTATTGTACTTGATGCTTAGAACCTTTACTTGCACTGAATATTTTCTTATATATGAAGAAAATATATTTATTTCTTTATTTTTTAGTTTGCAGGTCGCAGTAAGAAAGAAACTAAGTACTCCCTGAAAGCAGTGGAAGACATGTTGGAGACCCTGCAAATCACTCAGTCTTAGGTTGGCACAGAGAGGTCCAATATTAAATTTTCAGATTCTTTGCTCAAACTTTAATAACTTCTGGGTTATGTTACTCCAGTACTGTTAAAAATTAATTTTGTATTAATGTGGCTATCTAAAATAATGTTTTCTGAGAAGTAAAATGACTATTTATTGCTGCTATCTAAAATGTGATGAATACCCACTGAAATGAGTAACTTATCAAAGTAGATGACATAAAGAAATGTAATGATTTGCACAACAGTCTCCTTAGATTTTGTATGTACAGTACCTGCTTTTAAGCCATAATTTGTAGAAATAAACTTGTTAAATGACTAAAAGGAATTACAGTGATGTATTGAACTTGTCAATGGAAGCTACAAATTTATATATGGAGATTAATAACATATGTTAGAAAATGTTATCTTACTTGAATATTTAAGAGTTAAAGCATGCTGCAGATGTATAATTTGTTAACTATTTACCATACGAGAAGAGATTATTTTGCATGAATACACTTTATTAGAGGAAAACATTAATGATTTTATGAATTATTTGATATCTGCTATTGTAGAAATGGAGAGAACTTTTTTGTATACTTTTCTTCAGAGGGTCTCCTGTACTGGCTTACGGCCGAAGATGTTTGTCTCTGTGGCTTTCTGGGCAAATGCTTCCATGTCTACTTAGTTCTCCAATCAGTAAATACATGTGTTTTTTTTTGTTTTTTTTTAAACTCCTTCTGTGTGTCCTTTGTTGTACACATGTTCCACATCATGAATTTAAAAACCATCTGAATACAGGGATTACCTGCTGGTCTGTTCTAATTTTACAGTACCTACAGTACTGCTGTAAGCTATGGCATATCAGCTTCTCCATGGTAACCAGGAGTACCTGCGCTGTGAGGACGGGACAGGTTGTTCTACTGCCTTATACTTACTGGATAATGCAAGTATTTTTACATCCATAAGCATGAAAGATCTAGTGCACTGTAAACGTGTGTCATATTTGTCTTTTAGGAGCTTGTTTGTTTACTCAGATAACTAGCCAACTACCTTAGTCCACAGATTTTGCAGTTCTGGTAATTTTGACTCGTGCTCCTTCTGCGGCACGGCTATCATTTATCACAGCTTCAGTCATGTTACATAACAGCAATGTAAGCCTGACAGATTCGAATAAAAATAATTGCAGTGTCATTTTTCTGATTGTTGCTAGCACCCAAACTGATGAGATCTCCGAGTTTACACTGCCTTCTCTATATGAGTTAAAGCCTGTGCATTGAAATGTCCATTTTATAGCCTTGGGATTGGAATAATAAAGCTGAGCTCTTGCTTAAAAACAAAGTGTCAACAAAAATTTCCCTGTGGGTTCAAAACTTGAAAATGGTGGTTGCATGAATTCATGCCTTTAGGAAACATAAAATCTCATTCTTAGTATCTATGAAATACATTATAAGCAGTGAATATAATATTGTGGCTGGATGGGTGCTATGCCCTGAGAGTAAATTGTGTTTAGAATCTTGCATTAACTTGTTTCAGTGCTTAGGAATTACAAAACTGCTATTACTGTGCAGTATTATTATTAAATTACCTTGTTTTAACCTGTAGAAATTTTATAACGTTATTTTGAGGTCAGTGAATTAATGTTTGCAAATAGATTACGTATATTTCAGGTGGAAAACCAAGTAAATCTCATACGTGAAGCTATGTGCGTTTCCTTTCAGATTTGTACTCTTTTACTGTATGAGTGTGCCATCTAGAGTTTTAAATCCTCAGTAGTCTTTATTTTACCTACATCTCCAATAATTTGGTTGCATTCTAAAATGAAAAGATGATGGGAAGCTGTACTGTAGGAATCACTTTAGTCTAAGGAACAGTTCAGTAAGTTTATTCAGTGCAGTTGGTATTTAACCTCCTATTATATTCCCTTCCTAAATGTAAATATACATTTATAAAATAAAGGGAATATTCAGTAAAAATCTATGTTTTTTACTGGAAGTGTTACAGTAGACTCTGTAGCACAAAGAAGCTTAAGTTGATCTTTTGAGTTTGAAGCACAGTAGAAGATACATATTTTAAAGCTTCACGTTGAGAGTTATCAAACTGATTTGTATAAAGTGATCAATGGTATTTTACTGTGTGGAATTTGTATTGATGAACAGCTCACACGTATTTGTCACTTACCCAAGGAATTTGAATTATGCAGCTGAGGTTTATGAGATTTTAATTCCAAGGTACTGAAAAAAAATGGCAGCACCAAATTATTGCGTGGCAGGCAACTGAGGTGCTGGAAAGTGTTGTATCTAATGCTTTATTTAGAGGCAATTTACAACAAGGAATTTAAATGCAAGACTTAGACATTCTGTAAAGATGTTTCAGAGGTTTGTTGGTAAATTTTATATCGTTGACCACTTCAAAACTTTTAATTTAGATTGCTGCTTAGGATCTTTCTCATGCACTCTGATTTGTGCTTATGTTTTGGCATAATTCCTCCACAGTAGGGTTTACAAATTGGCCTAGCAAATATTTATGATATATTTATATTTACTTCAAAATAATTTACTCCTATGAAAAAATGCATGGGCAGTCTTTCATGCAACTATTGAGTTGCAGCAATGGAAACACAGCTTTGTTTCTGTATTTAAATGAAAAAAACCTAACTTTCTTTGTCTGCAGAAGAAAGAACGGTGTGAAATGCCCTGCACTTTCAGCAAGCAAAGATACACAAATGAAACTGATAGAATGTGATCTTTATAGAATTCAGTTTCCAGTCCGACTGGGTGATTTTGTCATTTGTCGCTGACTCTGTCTTGTGTTAAAGAATGTGTTCAAAGAATGGGTTACTTAGTTAACAAATGAACTTGATTGTCCCCTTTTGTGCTCTGACAGCAAAAAATGCTACATAAAAATATCATCAAGTATGCCGTCTCCTCTCTCCAAAATAAAAGGCTGTGCATTGTTTCAATTAACAGAAAAAAACTTGAGCCCTTTGCAATTATCAGTGTGTAGCAGTGATTTGAGTCTTTATATTGTGCCTTTAATAGTAGGTTTGATGTGGGGGGTGAAGTCTTATCTGTTCAAGTAAGGGTCGTTGAAGAGCTAACAAAAGGTTTGGTTCAGCATTTGTAATACAAATTTCTGGTGGCTTTTTCTGGTCTTTTTGCCTAAATGTTATACAGTTTATATTCTCTTGTTGAAAAAGTACTTGTTTAGAAAATATCTCTAAATCTCTGAAATTTGGAGCCCAGAATATCTTGCAGTTGCTATTGGAAACTGTTATTAGTCAACGGAGGACTTCCTCTTGGCAGCGTTGTATTTGTGATGGCATCCATGTTTGCTAGTCACTGCATTTACAGTGGAACTTGTATTTCAGCCAGCTTCAGAAAGGAATGGGAAAGGAAAGCAAATTAAACTTGACTTACTGGCATGAAATTGTTAGCTTCTTGTTACTTGCAGCCTCATCTTCCAAGAACACCAACTGTAGCTGTAATCAGGTTTGCAGTAATAATCCTTCTTGTAACTCAAGAGCTTCCATATATTCGGCTGTAAAACTGGCGCTCCATTAAAATCTAAAATATACCAATTTCATTTAAACAGTGCTGTGCAATGTGTACTTAGGCTGGAACTGGTGGACAGAGCAGAACAACTCTCCCACCCTCACTCATGTTAATGTTGCAGTAGGGGAACATCAGAACAATTATTTAATGTTGGGACTTCTTTCTCCAGGAAACTAATACTACTCTAAACAGTGTTTCAAGACATAACATTACTCACATTGCTGACTGTTTGAACAGACCTTTAGGACTAAGTATTATTTAATCACAGATATTTGAGTCTTTGTGGAGAATAAAGTACTTGATATTAATCTTATCTGGAATGACTGTGGATCCAGAGAGGCCTGTATCTTCTTGATAGGCACCAGCTGGAAGTTAGATTTAATCCAGAACTAGTTTTTAGAAATGGACAGTAATCTACCTGCCTCTTCACAAACAAACAAAAACTCAGAAACCCTCCCGTCAGTATAAAGTAGTGCCAACCTTTGAATGCTTGCCTAGAATGCAGAAGGGCTAGAGAGCAGTGCAAGAACTTGCTCAGCCTGTGTGCCACGTTAGGACTCTGAAAGAAAATGTCATTCATCTGTGTTTAGGATCCCACAAGTGAGTATTCCTGGTGTGCAGGCATCTGTCAGCTGAAAAGAGCTGAATAAGACCAGACCAGTACAGCCCATCGTCTGCAGAGGGGGTGGCCAGAGCCCTAGCTCCTGAATCTTCACCCAGCCATTGGCAGGGTTGCACATCAGCATCAATCTGCCTGCGGGATTCTGCCCTTCTAGAGACTTTCATCAGCATTTTACTTCTATCCCCCTTGGCCTCTGCTTGGTAGGATTCTTGCAGATAATTTATGCTGATGTGCAACCTTATCAATTTCACTGGAGGGTGCTGAGGTGTGAGGGTACAGGTGAATCGTTTTGTTGAATAGATCCTGGATCTTTAAAGCTTTTGCACTTTCTTAACTTCAGTGCATTGAGTTATTAGCGCACACCTAAGGGTCAGAACAGAACCATTCACCTTGGACTGAAAGGACGTCAAGCAACAAGACCTGTCCTGTTAAACATCTGCAGTCTGCTTAGCTTGATATGGATGCTTGATAAAGAATGTCAGTGGATTTTATCATGCTGAACCACGTGCAAATGTGTAGCAAGATGTTGTTTATGGTGTCTGTAGTTTAGTTGTTGTGATCATTGGACCATCTTGTGTGTGTGAGAGAACATGGAGTGAAAACTTAGTGAAAACATTTCCAGATGGGAAGCCCTTTGTCCAAGGTCAGAGAGAAGGATGAAGGGGCACCTTTTCAGTTTGCATGAGTCAGCGTAGGTCCAGTAGTTCTCTTTCCTGTAAAAGATCACAAAGAATGCTACATTTTTGTATGGCGTAAATAGTGGAAGACGTAAGACTGTATTTAAAAAAAAAAAAAGAAATCCTGAAAAAAATCATTGTACTCCTCAGTTTAGCTGTTTTCAGTGTGACCTTGTTGATGTTAGGATTTGTCATGCCATTTGGCTAGCACGTAGGCATCCGCCTCAGGGCTGCCAGTGCAGAAAGACACGTTTAGAGTGACTGTTCTCTTGGGAAAAGTTATTGATGGGCTTCCATCATTGCAGGTCATGACCTATTTGCATTGGCAATAGGAGTACTACTTGCCCCATTGTCAGTACTTGCTTAAATAAGATTCCTCTTAGGGAAAACTGGCCTTAATCCTAAAGAACGAGGGATCTTTTCCTCAAATGTAAATGGTTGTATTCTTTAGCAAGATTTTAGCTTTTGGACATGGTGTTTGGAAGTGAAACTTTAAACCAGGCAGATGTAGTCCTCCAGGGAAGAGGCTGCAAAAATCAGCACTGAAGCAATTTCAGAAAAGTGAGCAGCAAGTAAAATTAACCATTACTTGTGTTTATTTAGGTAATTGAGCTTGACACAGTGGTGTGTCTGACAAGTTGGTTTGTGTTTTTTATTCCATTAAATACAGATATGACACTCAAAGCTGTCATTGGCCATCTGAGACAGATTGTTTCAGTTTAGACTTTGGAAATCAGTAAATGTGAAGAGATCGCCATGTGGGCAGAAGCATAACCAGAACACTCCTTCCGGACAGCTGTTGGAGTATGTTTTGTTTCTTAGAATCAAGAATGAAAAACATGAAAAAAATATTAACGGGTCTATTGAAAATCAGTAAATGC